GGGGGGAGGAGGGGGGGGAAGGGTGGGGTGCAGGCAGTATTTTGAAAAGAAAAATCACATTAGCAACGTTACCTATAGAAGTACTTTGTTTCAGGCCTGTTTTCCGTCCAGCCCCTTTGCAGCATCTTCTCCTTGAGGCGAACAGCCTTCCTGACTGCTGCCTCGTACCTCTCATTCTGGCTCTGGAAGTACTGCTTTTCTCTGCTAAAGACCGGGTCCCGGTGGATAACCGCCTCTGGAAAGCAGCACAGAAGAGCTCGCTCTGGGGTCACGCAGCTGGGGTGCCTCTGCCCCGCTAGGATCAGTCTCTCAGCAAGCCCTGAGCGGCGTGGGAACGCAAGCGGCTGCCACGGATCGGGTCGTGTTTGTGCCCCCATCTGCCAGGCTGCCTCGCTCTTTGTATCAGTGCATCTGGGACCATCCCGGCCGCTGTCCCGTACTGGAGCGGAGCAGTGCCCCGGGGACACGTGCGCCACGCAGAGCAATGCATGCTGGGATGCACGGTACACAGAGAGCTGGGGGAAGGGCCAGCCAAATCAGTGGCACACTTGTAGTTTAGGGCAGAGGTTCCCGGCTCATTACAAGTTACAGGCCTTCGGGGGTTTGCTGTGTGAGGCTGGCTGCCCGGACCCCTGCTGTGCCTGGGCAGGCAGCCGCCTGGACCCAGACCTCTGCTGTGCAGCTGTCCCAGAGCTTGCGGGGCTGGTGGGAGCCCAAACCCTGGGCCCTGGGGTGCTGGGAAGCCACCCGCGCTCCCAGAGCATGCAGGGCAGGCCACCCTGGTCCTGTCCCTTGGAGCCTGCAGGACAGGCTGCTCCAACCCACAGAGCTCACAGCTGCCCTGGCCCCTGGAGTTGCCCCAGAGCCCAGGTTCCCAACTCCCTGGGGCCAGCAGCTCCAGATCCCTGACCCTGTAGGGCTGGCTGGCAGCCTTGACCCCAGACTCTTGCCAGTGACCCCGACCCTGGGCCCTGCAGCTGGGAGCCTGGCAGACCCCGGCCCACCTGTGACCTTTAGCACACAGCTGAGCTCGGCCGCGGCCGTGCGCTCGTTGGGCGGCCACGTGCAGCCTGCAGGAGGAGAACCACACAGACAGGGAGTTGGACAGTCAGTGTCCAGCTGGCCCAGGGAGAGAACAGGGGTCTGAACCCCAAAGAATAAGCAATTGAATCAACGGGCTGCACTCCATCTTGTGTACGAGATGTGGAGTGCGCTCTTTTGTGAGAGCTTGGGACGGTCGCTGTGAAGTACGTCTACAGCCTGGGGTTATGAACATGTCCTGGCTGCTTTACATGCACCGCAGAGAGGAGCCGCTCAAAGACGTGAGTCCTCTGGAGCCGCTACAGAAGCCACTGAAGCAAGGACCTTTGGCCGTTCAGAGAGCTACCAGCCGTTCTGACTAGACTCTCTCCGCTCTGTGCTGAGCGGCTGTTTGCTCCAACCCTCTCACAGGGTCATAGCCGATTAGGGCTCGCAGAGACCTCCGGAGTCATCGAGTCCAGCTCCCTGCCCCAGGGGACCAGCCCCAACTCAATCACCCCAGCCAGGGCTTGGTCAAGCCAGGACTGAAACACCTCTAGGGATGGAGATTCCACCCCCTCCTTAGGGAACCCAGCCCAGGGCTTCACCACCCGCCTAGGGAAATTGTTTTTCCTAATCTCCAACCTAGACCTCCCCCCCTGCAACTTGAGACCGTTGCTCTCCCTTAAATTCATGCAACCAACTCTCAGCTGTGAATTATGACTTTGCTACACAATAGTTTAATTTGTGAACTGTAGGCTCCTGCCTCAGGGCTGATCTGCAATATACGATGCAAACTATCCGCTGTGCAGCTGCAGGACAGGGATGTTGGCCGTGAGCAATCGCTCAAGTGAGCCCCGAAGCTCAATTTCCCTGCAGCCTGCTGTTCTTTAAAATGAAACCGAACTGCCCTGAGACTCCTGGGTGTGCTTTCGAGTGGCGGCTTACAGCGGGAGGCGTCACTGCTCACGTTCCCAGGCATGAAAAGAGGAGCATTAACAAAAGCAAGTCCAGTAAGTTAACTATAAACGATACTTCACATGGGGGAGGGAGGGTTCATGTTCCAAACCACTCTCTCCACGAATGGCAAAGGGAGCCAGGGATGTAGTTAAAATAAAATCCTTGGTTAATATTTTCCAATGCAAATGCTTTAACTGTTCTTCCTACTTTTCTAGCTTTATTAAAGGGCGACCAAGGTTTTTTACGCTGTGTTTTGTGTCAGACTATGATTTTATCAGGGAGGTTGCAGACTTCAGCTACAGGGTCCCACCCTTCTCACAGTGGCAGGTAGCTCTGAGGTATCCCTGCTGCCTGAGGTAGTGGGCACCCAAACTTTGAGCCACCATGAGGTAGCAGGGGTATTGCCACAGCAGCTGGGGGACTGCGCAAGGACAGAGGGACCCTAGAGTCACTCCACCACTGTCTAGGCCCTTCCCATTTCATCGTGGGTATTTTTAGTAAACACCAGGGACAAGTCACTGGCTTCTGTGAATTTTTCTTTATTGCCCGTGACCCATCTGTGACTTTTACTAAAAATACCCATGACAAAATTCTAGCCTTACTAATCGGTTTTGCCTAATTTATTGCACCCTGGCAAATCACTCAGGGATTGTGAGGAGGAAAGTGGAGGCAAGCACGTTTGGTGTAAGTTTGTGTAGCTTCAGTGTGATGAAGTTAGTTTATGTTTAGCTAGAAGCCATCTTGTATAACAGAAACCATTTCAGCTTTTTGTCTTTGCACGTAGGCCAGAGTGAACTTTCTATCACCCCATGCGCCAGGCCAAGACAGATGTGCTATTGGAATGTGTTAATTGGGCTGGTTCAGAGAGGAGAGGTACTCCCTCGTACCTGTCCGCCATCATGTTGATAAGGCTTTGTTTTTCCTAGTCTAATTGATTATTTCTGTAATTGGATGCCCTGACGTCAGACTGTTTGGTTAAGGGTATAAAGATACTAGGATTGATTGTATTAGGTAGCCTTACTGGACCCAGGCTTTGCTGAGACCACGTTTGGCTCACTTTGCTTTTATTGGCCAATAAAACTGTCTGTTTAGCCGCGTAAACTGAGTGAGGCGTTTGCTTCGACAAGTGGTTAGACTGACTGACATCAGCTGAGCAGCCTGGCCCTGAGCCCTGCTCTGGCTGTACGCCCCTAATCACAGCGTCTCTGGTTTAATTTTGTATTGCTGGATCTGAGGAGAAGGTGGCTCGCTGGGTACCAGAGGCAGCGCGGCAGAGATGCAGCAGACACACCAGGGACCTGGAAGTCTCTCATCTAGAAAGCACCGAATGTTTTAAAGCCCACTTACCCATTGCCCGCCGTGTCCTGGTGTTGTCAGCTCCTCCATCCAATACGGCCGTGAGCCTTTCCACGCTGAAGGAGGCAGTCCGCCTTTCGGCTTCGAGGTCAGGATTCACATCTCTGCTAACGGAGCTCCGGAAATAGCCACTCCTATTCCACTGGGCCATCTGAGCTTGCTGGCGTCCCTGAGAACAGGTGGCACCAATTAGCCTATTGGCCCTCAAAAAAAAAAATCCCCAGGGGGAAGCGCCTCCTATAGCAGCATTTTCATTGGCTGCTTGCAAGTCCTGAGCTGGTCTTGCACTGAACTGATGCTTCAGTGCTGGATTTGTCTGACACGGGGTATTTTTTGGGACAAACAGAGCTGTGAAAACACCAGCTCAGCCTGGCAGAACCCCATGTGTACTGGCCAGGCACTTGCTTTCCCCCCTCCGCATTTGCAAACAGAATATTGTGCGTTTTTTGTCACGGACATCAAGCACCGACCCGAAGGTGGGGGGAGCAGCCATTGCCTCTGGATGGGTGAATGTTCATGACAATTTAATAGAATATGTGGCTCTGCATGCCTGTTTACACCCCAGGGCTACGTCTAGACTGGCATGATTTTCCGTTAAAAGTTTTTCCGTTAAAAGCATTTTCGGAAAAGAGCGTCTAGATTGGCACGGACGCTTTTCTGCAAAAGCACTTTTTGCGGAAAAGCGTCTGTGCCAATCTAGACGCGCTTTTTCGCAAAACTAATCTACACTGGCTCTTTTGCGCAAACGGGAGCAGCATAGTATTTCCACAAGAAGCACTGATTTCTTCCAGTAGGAAGTCAGTGCTTTTGCGGAAATTCAAGTGGCCTGTGTAGACAGCTGGCAAGTTTTTCCGGAAAAGCGGCTGATTTTCCGGAAAAACTGGCCAGAAAAGCACTGACTTCCTACTGGAAGAAATCAGTGCTTCTTGTGGAAATACTATGCTGCTCCCGTTTGCGCAAAAGAGCCAGTGTAGATTAGTTTTGCGAAAAAGCGCGTCTAGATTGGCACAGACGCTTTTCCGCAAAAAGTGCTTTTCAGGAAAAGCGTCCGTGCCAATCTAGATGCTCTTTTCCGAAAATGCTTTTAACAGAAAACTTTTCCGTTAATAGCATTTCCGGAAAATCATGCCAGTCTAGACGCAGCCGAGCAGCATAGTATTTCCGCAAGAAGCACTGATTTCTTACCGTAGGAAGTCAGTGCTTTTGCGGAAATTCAAGCGGCCAGTGTAGACAGCTG